AGTTGATCTTGATATATAAAGGCTTAAGAATCCACTTTCGTAACCCCACAATTACATGTCATTCTGGCGCTTTTTACCCACTTCTGTTTCTTGTTGCTCTGGTTTAACTGTTCCTATTCTTGTCGATTCAACTCCCAGCCCTAATGTTTTTGTGTTCTGGTCCTTCTGCCCTAACTCGTGGGTTTTGAACCCCTACTTCATTCAGTCTTCTATTTAGTTTGTTCAGGCCCAGGAGGAGGAATTCCTGGAGATTTCTCACGTTTAATATGACTAGCAAGTCTTCAATTACGTCTTATTGGTCTTGAAAAATAATCTCTGGTTAATCATGAAACTAGAAGCAGAAAGTTAGAGTTTGGTAATAAATTTAGAAGTCAGTGAAAAACTTATTTATGTGTGTGTGTGTGTATACAATGTTGGATGTGCCATTCAGTGTATCTCACAGTGACCTTATGGATAACAGGTGTGAACCTTGGCCTGCCCTGGGCCATCCTCATGACCTCTAATAGGCTCAAGCCCATTGTTAGTCACTGTGTCAGTCCATCTTGTTAGGGATCGCCCTCCACCTTTCCTAGCATGAAGTCTTGATCCAAGCACTGGCTCCTCCTAACAGTCTCATGTGGGATGCAGTTTCACCATCCATGCCTTTAAAGCACCATGGCTGTACTTTCGCCAAGACAGACCTGTTGCTCTTTTGGCAGTCCAGGGATAATCAGTACTCTTCTCCAATACCAACATTCACATGCACCAATTCTTAGTCAGTCTTCCTTAGTCACTGTCCAACTCTCAGATGCATAGGAAGCCAACTGGAAATACCACAGCCTGGATTAGGCATACTTTAACTTAAACTGGGATCCCTGTTTGTAAGCATTTTGGAGAGATGCTTGTCAGCAGATTTTTCCAATAGTTATAGTCTTGTAATTTGACTGCTGCTACCATAGTTTTTGACTGTAGATCTAAGTAAAATGAAATAGCTTACTATATTATTATTGTTATGTGCTGTCCAGGCAAAACCAACTCATAGGTGATCTTTCTGCACGGTTTCTTAGTCTATAAACGACAGAGAGGAGATTGTCTATCTTTTCCTTGCAGTTCAGCTGATGGATCTGAACTGCCTGCCTTTGGGTTAGCAGTGCAACTCCTGACCCACTAGACTGCCGGAGCGCCAAATATAATATACATACACATGTTTGTGCGTATATACATTTACTTTTAAAGAGTTTTATATGTCCCTATCCTTCAAACTAATGCAAGACCAATATCCTAGAGAAATGCTAAAACCTCACAAGATGGCAGAAAGATAAGAATTCTAAATTAAGATTATGATCCATGGATTAATATCTGTTCTTTTATATTTCTCATACTACCCTTAGTTTATTTGTAGTCAGGAAATCAAAAGGTGAATTACACTGTGAAAATCAGCTGTCAGGGATCTCTCTAGGGTTCTGAACAGCAACGATGTCAGTATGGAGACCAAGGTGTGCCCGATATAGGCTATGGTCTTCACAGTTACTTGTTATATATCAGAGAGCTGGCAATTACAAAGGATGGTAGAAGAAGGATCGATGCCTTTGAGTTGTGCTGCTGGAGAAGAGTGTTGAAGACACTATGGACTGCCAGGAGAACAAACAGGTCAGGAGAGGGTGAAAAGAAGCTACTCCCTGGAGGCAGGGAGTTTGAAGCTCTGTCTCACATACTTTGGACACATGTCCAGGAGGGACCAGTCTTGGAGAAGGGCATCATGCTTGGAAGGGTGGAGGGATAGCACAGGAAAGGAGGACCCAGGATGAGATGGACTGACTCAGTGACTGGAGAAATGGGATTAGGCTGTCAGAGACAATGAGATTGGCTCAGGATAGGGCAGGATTCAGAGCTAATGTACATAGGGGTTGCTATGAATCACAGGTGACTTGATGGCATATAGTAACTCTTAGTTTCTACAGAAAGTTTCTGAGGAAGAAAGAACACATTATCTCCTTCAGTTTGATTCACAGTTTCAGAAATCCCAATAGTAGATCACCTACATGTAGGTTCCACTACAGGGTTGCAAGCCTATGAGTGAGTATATAATGGTCATCTCAATCATGTCCTCAAATTTGTGTTATTGGTTAATACCCGTTGATTCCAACTCATAGAGACACTACCAGAGAGTAGAATTTCCCTGTAGGGTGTCCCATGTAGAAGTCTTTATGGGATCTGACTATTGTAACTCTATAAATATCTACTGAATGAAAGATGTGATGCCCATTATGACCAGAATATAAACTCCTTCCCTTATCTAAGTAGAAAATATGCTCTGAATCTTCACTATGAACAATTATCTGGAAAAGTAACTGATAGTAAATTAATCTTGCTTCAACACAATAAAGATAATATATATTTTCACCACAAGAAGTCCCTAAAAGGAAATAATACTTAAAGCCAAAGTTACAAATTACAATCTATTTAAACTTTAATTTGTGCATTTGTGGTAATTCATGACTGCAAAACACCCCCGTTTGTTTTTTTTTCTTCTTTTTAAAAAAAGAATGACATAGTTAAAGGCACAGTTCATTTGAATGCATAGTGTACCAATCTAAAATGTCCTCATTTCCTTACAAAGTGCTTGAACAGTCACTTAACACATACAGTAATAGAAAATATATTTACACTTGATAGAGCTTAAAATTTTAACTCTGACTAAAATATATATATATTTTTAAAACTACAGAAAAAAAATTAGTGCTTTCTTCAGCTTAATTGTGTGAATATACCCTGCCCTCTAATTTTATTTTAAGTGATTGACTTCAATTAAAAATTTTCTGTACACTGTGCAGTTAAAAAAATGCTACTTCTGTTTTTAATGCTAAAAGCTTGTTTTGGACATTACTTTTTATGCATATTTGAGAACCAGAGAAAGTGAACAGACTGTACCTCAAAAGTATTTAGTGTTTTTAAAAAATGTTGCCATAATACTGTTTAAGTAAAAAACTTAGGCTTCCTCTGTTTTTCTTTGCCAAAGAAGTGGCATTTTAAAGTAACTTTAAAGAACAAATTGCCCCCTCTTTTCTAAAAGATTTCCTCCCAGGATCTCGAATAATAGCGTATTTTTATACAAATACTTTCCACCTTCTGCTTTTTGGGGTCATTCTTTCTGCTTCAAGACCCTACCAATGGGAAACATCTTTGCAAGTGTTACTATGCTAATTTTTCTTCACAGTAATATGTGAAATAAAAGTGGCATAGCAGAGCTTAGGAAAGTATCTCATAGGCTTGGCTGACAAACTCAGAAGCTGCATATTATTACTGTATTGTTTGGTAGTCAATTTGAAGACAATATAAATTATATAACTGTTCTTCGGAGTACAAGAAAAACAAAGCAACACACTCTTGGAAAGTTCATATATTCTAGAAATGATTTTAGCTCAACTCTCTCTCAAAATCTGTGCTTTCATGCTTTTCATGGGATTTTTTAAGAGATGAGCTTACTGTGATTAAATGGTTAATTGAGTATGATTAGTTAATAACTTGCTATTCCTGAGGTATGATGATCCTAACATGCTAAGCACAGGATCAAAGGTGTTATTCCTAAACTAAGGGAAAAAACAACGAAGTCATGAGCTACGGGGAGGACATGGGGAATGGGATGGGTGGATGGGAGCAGGTGGTGGAGGGGGAAGAAACTTCAGGCAAGGGGAAAGTCATGGCTGGCAAAATGACTTTCCTATAAGAATATTTTAAAAAGCCACAAACTAACCCATTGAAGAATGATAAAAAGTACTCAATCAAAGTATTTTAGAGACTTTTGAGGTACAGCTTTAGTGTTACAATAATTTTTATAAAATATAGACTGTTTTATCAAAAATATTTATACATTCTGTTACAATATATTGCTTTTACCCTTAGTAACTGCCAATATAAAATCCGGATCCAGTGGCCTAAAATGTCCAAATGCATTTCACATAAATGCTGGAGACTGAGGTGTCTTCGTGGCCACTGTACAAAAGTGATGAAGTGGTGAAATTAAATAAGCCTACAACATAGAATACATTACAACTTGCACATATACATGTTCACAGCATGTATAAATGATAATCCTTATGGTTTAAACAAAGATAGTTACCTTCTACAGCAGACATAAGAACAAGATGAATTAGGCTGGTAAATGTACAGATATAAAAGGGGGTAATCAAATCACTGATTTTGGAAGCAAGCATCACTGAATACACATGAATGTTGAGATTTTGGGAATGCATCTGGGTAATACAAAACCTTAGTTCAAGTTGATCATAAATTCTCATTCTGACGTTTTTAAGCAAATGCTGACATTTAGCTGTTTCTGTTTATCTCAGCATGATTTAATAAAGAAAAACTGTTTGGCAAGTAGCTCTGTTGGTAATATTTGAGGCTCTATTACAGGTTGGAAAAGGCAAGGTAATAAAAAACATTTTGTCCTAATAAATATAGAAAATTTATAAAATAACAATTCATTGTTTTAAAATCAAGTTCCCAAAAATGTATACAAACGACCACAATTCCTTGATATTACAGTTATTTCCTTTAAAAAAAAAATGCAAGAGCATTTATTTGCCTTATTAAGACAGAATCAATCTAAATGTGAGTAGTAATTGCAATCCAGGCCCTTTTTCCTCTTTGTAAAAACTGCTACGTTAACATGATTAGTCTTCCCTCCATTTAAGGCAGGCATACGGCAAAGCAAGGTACTGTAAAAAAGTGTTTCTCCTTTTTAAAAAATAGACTATAGATCTAAAAATATTCATTGGTGATGGACCTTTTCATGGCTGATGTGTGCTCAGTTTAAACTCCACAAAACTGTTTCCAGTGCTCAGATTTACATTGACAGTACATTGAGAAGCCACTTCTCAAAGAGTATCAGAATAGTACTTTTAAACAAAATGTTGTGTGTTCAGAACTACGGGTGGCACAGAGAGCAAATGAAGTGTTGTTATTCTTTAGAGGTCTTCTTGTAAGGCAGTCTGCTTGGTTTCACAGTGTCTGAGAATTTAACACCAATCAGCAATGTAGTCAAAATCTCTGAACATTTCTTGTTCTTCTTCTGACAGTCTTCTTGGTTCTCGAGGTGGGGTCAGAATAGGTGCTTCTGAGGTAAATTCATCGTCAAAATTGCTAACATCTTTCCTTCCTCTAATAGTAGGTACAAACGGTGGTTTTACTTTTTTGTCCATCAGAGCACTCCAATCAATTAGCTGGATCACAAAGCATAAAATGGCATATTTAGTTTCTTAGTCTGAATTACATTAATTTCATAAAAAAAAATTGAAAATTTCTTTCTTACCCGGAAAAATGGGTGCTTTTTTACATCCTCAGCATCTTTTTCACCAGCTCCAAGGCGCCGTTCTGGGTTTCTTCTTAATAGCTAACATAACATAAGGCAGAAAAGTCAAAACAAAATCAGTAACTTAGTTGGTGAGCTGTGAACTAAAAATTTCTCAAATTTTCTTGAGAAATTTCTTCTATATGAAATAACCTTAATTTATAAACTATTAACTCTTACCCTTCTCATTATGGAAATGGCTTCTGTAGACAAGAACCTTGGATATCTTACTTCATCATTTACAATACTGTCAAAAACTTCTTCTTCATCATCACCAGGAAAGGGAGACTGAAAGAGAACTTTAAGTTATGAGTTTCAAGACCCTAAGATCTCATTACAACCTAATGAAAACAAAGTGAAAAATCTATCTAAAACAACAGTGCCAACAAAGCAGATTGCGAGAGGGGGAAGGGAAGGAAAATGGACAAATGAATGAATCAAAGCCCAACCTTTCTGTAAACTCTTGTTAAAATCACAGAAAATAACACAACCCACACCAATACAATAGCAACAACAAAAATAAGAAGACTAGACATTTTACCTATTATCCAGAAATTATGCCATATATTTTTAGTCAAATTCCCTTGCAATTCATTTTACAACCCTTCTAACAACTTAACAATATACGATCGTGCACCATATTTTTCATTTCATTCCATGTAATTGTATTTTATCTGGTCATCCAGTATTTTAAGTGCCTACTTGAGAATGGAGAATATTCATATAATAGACATAATACTGGCGGGGGGGGGGGGAAGCCAACTTGTCCAAAGACAAAAAGAAAACTAGTAAGGTAAATATGGTAAAAAACATCACAACTGAACAAAAAAAATCTGTGGGTAGATAAGATATTGATTGGATTTAAAAATCAGTAATAAATTAATGGGTAGCAAAAACAGGAATTAGAGACTAGCAAACACAATGACTGTACTGAGAAGATGTCAATAAAACTGACTGAAAATAATCTTAAAAAAGCAGAGTTCTAATGTCATCAAGTCACAACACATGACAACAGGTCTTGTGGGCATTTCACTGCTCCTAGAATGACTCCAAGTTACAAACAAGTAACTATATTATATTCATTATAACAATTTTGTGCAATTCATAGTCTCAGAAACCTGCTGGAGGGTGAGCTAGGAAATGATCCTAAATTGACACTGGAGAGAGACTGGAAAATATTTACAAAACTCAAGTACTTATGTTATTGTTGTTATGTGCTGTCGAGCCACATGTGAATCATGGCAACCCTATGTACAAGAGTCCTAAACCCGCTCTATCCTATGCCAACCTGTCTACGATACACGTACTCCCACTACACCGATCACTGAATTGATCTATCTCATCTAGGATCTTGCTCTCCTGTGCCTCCACTCTCCCAAACATTATGTCCCTCTCCAAGAGCTGGTCCCTCCTTGCAACATGCCCAAAATATGTCAGATGAAGCATCAGAATCCTTGACTCCAAGGAGCAGCCTGGTTTCATCCTCTCCAGGAAAAACCTGTTTGCTCTCCTAGCAGTCCATGGTATATTCAACACTACTCTCCAGCACTGCAGCTCAAAGGCATCAATTTTCCTTCTATCATCCCTAGTCACTGTCCAGCTCACAGCATGTACAGCATGTCACAGCATGCAACTGTGAAGGCTAAAGCCCAGTTCAGGAGCACCTTAGTCCCCAGCCTGACGTCGTTGCTCTTCAGTACTCTGGAGAGGTCCCTCAAAGCTGACTTTCCCAATGCAATTCGTCTCTCAATTCCTTGGCTTCTGGTACCAAGAGTGTTGACTGTGAAGCCAAGCAAACTAAAACTGTTAACTATCTCAATCTCTTTACCATCCATATTGATCCTGCCAACTGGCTCAGTGGTGATAATCTTTGTTTTCTAGATGTTGAGCTTCAATCTGTATTAAAAGCAGTCAATCTTCTGCAACAAGTGCTTCAGGTCCCCCTCAGTTTCAGCAAGCAGGGTTGTGTCATCTGCATAATGCAGGTTGTTGATGAATCCTCCACCAATTCTGATGCCATATTCCTCCTCCTACAGCCCAGCAGCCCAGATGATCTGTACTGCATACAGACTGAAAAGGTTTGGAGATAGAATACATCCCTGGTGGACCTCCTTCCCAATTTTGAACCATGTAGTGTCTCCTTGCTCTGTTCTGACAACTGCCTCTTGGTCCAAGTATAAGTTTTGCCTAAGCACAAAATGTTCTGGGATTCCCATTCTTCTCAGAGTTATCGACAGCTTGTTGTGATCCACAGTCAAAAGCCTTTGCATAGTCAATGAAGCACAGACAGACATTCCTCTGGTATTCTCTGCTTTCTGCCAAGATACATCTAACATTACCTATAATATCCATAGTACTACAACCTCTTCTAAACCCAGCTTGCACAACTGGCTGTTCTCTGTTCCAGTGATATTAATGATATTGTTTGATAATTTCTGCACTCTGTTGGGTCACCTTTCTTAGGAATGGGAACAAATATAGATCTCTTCCAGTCAGCTGGCTGGCCACAACTTTTTTGGTACAACTTCGTGAGTGCATCCAGGTAGCGTCTGTTTCTTAAAATGACATGTCAAGTCGTATGCCATTAACTCCTGGAGTCTTTTTTTACCACTTATGTTAGAAACCTATTATTAGGTGATCTATAAAGGACATGCTTTGTTCTCTCAATCATTTTTCTCTCTTCCCTCTCACATACTTTATACTGCTTACCTCACCAACAAGCATTTCATATATAAGTACACCAAAGCCCCACCAATCTACAGCTCTTGTATAGGACGTTTCTGTTAATACTTCTGGGGCAAGGAATTCAGGAGTGCCACAAAATGTGCTTGTTCTATCTTCATATCCCATTCCTGAAAAAAGAAAAGAAAAAAAGATCTTTTAAATATCTGTTAGTAAGAAGAGAAAAAAAAAGTCCGTTTTTCCCCCTATGCAAATTAGAAATATCCTTAGTAAGCAAAATTAAAAGTATATATTTGTACATGGTGACCAACATCACAGATATTCAAGACTTAATGAAAATGGTAAGGATCTGTATAGACAAGAATATGTAACAGAACTCCAGTGTACAATTAATGCATAAAAATGGAAAAATGTCTCATCCTTCCATTTAGTGACTTATTTTCTTTCTTATCATTACTTTACAGTCACCAACAAAAATGAAATGACTAGGAGTTTCAATTTCTATCACATTTCCAACTCAACCTTTGAGTTATTTATTATGTTTGTTATAACAATATTTAGCATAATTTGGAAAAAACCCAACCAGTTGAAAAATCAAGGATTAACTAAACATATCATATAATAAAGATATTAATATTTTAGCTAAATGATTTTTCCAACATGTTTCTTGTAATTTAAAAATATTAGTCAAATACATATTCTACATATTGAAATGGTCTCTATGTATTCCAAGTTGTTTTAAGCCCTTTATAAGAATCACATTCTGGCTTTCTACAAAGATGGCGCTGAAAGCAAAGAAGGAAGGCCCTGTCCCTCCCAAAACTGAAGCCAAAGCAAAGGCATTAAAGGCCAAGAAGGCAGTCCTGAAAGGCATCCACAGCCAAAAAAAAGAAGATCCACACCTCACCTACCTTCCAGCGGCCTAAGATGCTGAGACTCTGAAGGCAGCCCAAATACCCCTGGAAAAGCGCCCCCAGGAGAAAAAAAGCTTGACTACTATGCCATCATCAAGTTTCCCTGACCACTGAGTCAGCCATGAAGAAGATAGAAGATAACAACACACTTTCAGGCTCTGAAATTATGAAGACTTGGGCTTAAATTCCAACTTTGTCACTGATTAGTTATAAAAATTTAGGAAGAACATTGAACTTTTCTAATCTGTTATCTGAGAAGGGCCTGAAGCACTTGCTATGCAAGGTCAAGGTCTACAGCCTTCAGTATGGATTGAAGGTCAACATCAAGAAAACAAAGATTCTCATCACTGGGCTGATTGGCAGCATCATGATGGGTGGTGAAGAGACTGAGATTGTCAACAGCTTCAGTTTGCTTGGCTCCACAATCAACACTCTTGGTACCAGCAGCCAGGAAAACAAAAGATGAATTGCACTGGGAAAGTCTGCTACCAGAGACTTCTGGAGACTAAGGTGTACCTGATCCAGGCCAAGATCTTGGCAATTACATGCTACGCATAGAAAGCTGGACAGTGACGAGGGATGATACGAGAATTGATGCCTTTGAGCTGTGGTGAGTACTGAGTATACCATGGACTGCTAGGAAGATAAACAGGTTTATCCTGGATAGGGTGAAACCAGGCTGAAGCTCCCTCTGACATACTCTGGGCATGTTGCAAGGAGCGACTAGTCTTTGGAGAGATCCAACATGCTTGTGAGGATGGACAGACAATACAAGAGAGGAAGACCCTGGATGAGATGGACTGACTCGGTGACTGGGGTAATGAGGGTAGGTGTGTCAGAGATGATAAGGCTGGCTCAGGACAGAGCAAGGTTCAGAGTTGTCAAACAGGTTTGCTATGAGTCACAAGCTACTCGATGGCACAGAACACCACCACAACAATCTGTCAATGTACTGTCTCAGTCATTCTTAGATAGTTTTTAGCAATATTTTGCTTCTATGTAATATTAGTGAATTTGTTTGATGATTTCCACATTCTGTAGGAAAACCCTTGTTTTTTGGGGATGGGAATAAAGATGGATCTCAGTACATCCAGGGCTGAGTCTTTTTGTTAAAGATCTGTTTGTCAATTCCTGGGGCTTATTTTTTTTACCAATTCCCTCGGGGTCACTTGAATTTCCTCCTTTGGTATCCTTGGTTCTTGATCAAATGCTACTTCTTGAAAAGGTTCTCTGTCAGCCAATTCTTTTTGATACAGTGACTCTTTGTATTCTTTGCACATTCTTTTGGTTTTTTAAATTAAGATGGCTTTGAAATAATCAAAGATGTGTTCTTTCTCTCTACTTTTTCAATCTATATGCTGAACAGATCACTTGGGAGACTGGACTTTATGAAGAATGTGGCATCAAGATTGGAGGAAGATTCATTAGCAACTTGCTTTATGAAGATGACATAACTTTGCTTGCTTAAACTGAGTGAGGACTTGAAGCATTTGCGCTGGAAAGTCAAAGACTGTAGCTTTCAATATGGATAGTGTCACAACATCAAGAAAGAAAACAAAGATTTCCATCAATAGGCTAACAGGCAATATCATAATAGGACTGAAGTTGATGATTTCACCTTGCTTGGATCCACAATCAACACTTTTGGCACAAGCAGCTAGGAAATCATAAGATGAGTTGGACTGGGAAAATCTGCTGTCAAGGATCTCTCCAGAGTGCTAGAGAGCAATGATGTGAGTCTACATAGCAATGTGCGTCTGATCCAGGCCATAGCCTTCTTAATTGCTTGCTATGTGTTTGAGAGCTGGCAAGGCCTTTGAGTTGTGGTTCTGGAAAAGAGTACTAAGCATACCACTGATTGCCAAGAGAACAAGTAAGTCTGTCCTGGAGAGGGTGAAACAAGTTTGCTTGTTGGAGGAAAGGATTTTGGACATTTCGTGAGGGAACAGTACTTGGAAAAGGACATCACGCTCGGCAGGATAAACGGTCAGTGCAGAAGAGGAAGACCCTGGAGGAGATGGTCTGACCCTGTGACTGTGGTAATGGGGTCAGGGATGTCAGAGATGGTGAGCCTGGCTCAGGGTAGGGCAAGCTCAGAGTCATTGTTCATAGGGTCAGAACGGGTTGTGTTCGACTTGATGGAGCATAACAACAACAAGCCTAAATCTCCTCATCTATACATTGGAACTAATAATATCTAGCTTCATTTGATTGTTCAAATGATTAGAAGAGACTATGAAACATACTGCAGAGTGTTTGGCACACAGTTGTTAGGTAGTTGTGGGGTCAATTCTGACTCACAAAGAGCCTACATACAGCATGTCTAATCTCGCACAATCCTACACTGTAATTCTCACAATCTCTGCTGACTTTACGGCTGCTGTTGTGGTTTCTGTGTGAATCCATCTTGCTTAAGGTCATCTTCTGATTCTCCACCTTCCCAAACATGTCTTTTTCTAAGGACAGAGTCCTCCTGACTGCATGTCCCAAGTATGTGAGATGAAGTATCTATCACCCTTGTCTCTAAAGAGCACTCTGGCTGTATTTCTATGATAGATTTCTTTGGTTTTTCTGGTATCCCACGGTATATTCAGTACTCCTCATCATAATTCAAAAGCACCAAGTCTTCAATTCACCTTTCACATGCATATGAAACAACTCAAATCCCGGGGGTTTGGGTTATGGGGGGCATTCTCTGTGCTTTAGCACTTATTATTATCATACAGTACTACATTTTTACCCTTCACTTTTTTTTTCTTTTAGTACAATGTTATTTACAATAACAAAGAATGAGAAATAACCCAAGTGTCTGTCCATCAAGGAGCAAATGGATAGAGAAAATAGGTTTTTATAATAATGAAGAAACATTAAGAAGTCTAGTCATTTAAAAAACATATTTTCTGAGTACTTATTAAATTCCAAGAACTTATACTAAGTGGTAGAAATAAAAAAAAGATGGAGTTTTGACATAGGGAGAGCAACAGAAACACTAGAGAAGGACTATTAACATAGGCTTGGGCGTCGCTGCTGTTGTAAGGTGCTGTCCCATCAACTAGGACTCAGAGTGACGCTACCCTGCACCATCAGTGGGATCACCATGATGATCTTCAGCACTGAAGCGCACTGTGGTAGTCGCTATGCCAACCCGTCTTTGAGGGTCCTCCTCTCTTCCTGTGACCCTTCACTTTGCTCAACACGATCTCGCTCTCCAAAGATCCTCCAGAGAATATGTACAAAGTAACTGAGAGGACGTTTCACCATCCTTGCCCCTAAAGAACATTCTGGTTTTACTTCTTTAAGACAAATCAGTTTGCTCTTTTGGCAGTCCGTGAAATATTCAACACTTTTCATCCACATCACAATTCAAAGGTCTCACACCTTCTCTGTTTTTCTTTATTCATTGCCCAAATTTCATATTCATGGAAAGCAACTGAAAATACTGTGGCTTAGATCGAGTGTATCTTAAATCTATAAACTGACATCCTTGCTCCTTAGAGTGGTCCTTGACAGCAGATTTTTCCAACGCAACGTGCCTCTAGATTTCTTAACTGTTGATACTATGTATATAGATAGTGGATTCAAATAAAATTAAATTGTTGACTACTTCATTTTTTTTCTCCATCTATCACAACGTTGCCTACTGAGTCAGCGGTGAGGATTATTGTTTGAGTCAGCAGTGAGGATTATTGTTTCCTTCATGTGACACATACTAAAGGGTATAGTCTTTCATCTTTTGCAATAAGTGAAGAAGACTTATCAACAACTGCATTAGACAGATGATCCAACCCTGTATGTAGAAAATAAAGGCGACCTGCAGTACTTAGTGGAGACTTGGGCACTAGGGTAGGGTCAAGAGGAGTCTCAGGTAACTGTCGGTGAAAAAGACATGTGAGTTGAGCCTGAAGAAAAAGTACCTATTAGTAAATAGGGGGTGTGTGATGGGAAGGCTCAGATTAAAGCAATTTGTTTTTTCCTTGAGTGGCAAGAGAGTGGACTGAAGAGTTAGGTGGACTAACCAGGAAGGGCTTTGTGTAACCCCAGCTTTTGAAGGGGTATACCATGGTCTAAACTGTGCTCATGTGGAACCTATACCTGAACCAGGGGGCTGCCGTGCAAACAGAGCAGGGGAATATTGCATGGGTGAAAATTGAGAAGGGTGTGTGTCAGGGTTGTATTTTCTGTCCATATCTACTTACTCTGTGTGCTGAACAAACTATTCAACAAGCTGGACTCTGTGAAGAGGAGTGGGGAATAAGGATTGGAGGGAGACTCATCAGTGACCTGCATTATGCTGATGACAAACTAGCTTGCGGAAAGTAAAGAGGACTTGAAGCATTTCTTGCAGAAGATCAAGGAATGCAGCCTTCGGTATGGGTTACATCTCCATGTCAAGAAAACAAAGATTCTTACCACTGCATCAATAGGCAGCATCATGATGGATAGAGAGGAGACTGAAACTGTCAACAGCTTCATCTTGCTTGTATCCACAATTAGTATCCTTAGTACCATCAGTCAGGAAATAAGGAGATGTACTGCACTAGGAGAATTTGCAGTTAGTGACTTCTTCAAATTATTGAGGAGTAATGATGTCACTTTGAGGACTAAGGCATGTCTGATTCAGGCCACTGTCTTTCTGATAACTTACTATGCACTTGAGTGCCTGACAATGAGTAAGGATGATAGAAGTGATGCCTTTGAGCTGTGGTGTTGGAGAAGAGCACTGAACCTCCCATGGACAACCTAAAAAACATCTCAGAAAGGGTACAGCTGGAGCTCTTTAGAGGCAAGAATAATGAGGCTTTGCCTCACTTACTTTGTACATGTTGCTAGGAAGGGCTATTCCTTGGAGAGGGACATGATGCTGGGAGTCGTGTAGGGTCGGAGGAGAGGAAGACCTTCAACCAGGTAGACTGACATGGTGACTGCTGCAATGGGATTTCGTATGTCAGGAAGTGTGAGGATGGCACACGATAGATAAAGCAGGGTTTCGTTATTTTGTTCACAGCATTGCTATGAGTTGTATTCAACCTGACGGCACCTTACAACAACCATGGTATGATGTGTATTTACATGAACTTGAAATGAGTGGATACTTACTCATAAGCAAATAAGATGCTTATTTTCAAGCTGGTAGACTGAACTGTGGTACCATCAACTAAGAATGAGACTACCTGAAGCAGCAGATTTTTTGCATGTAGTTTTGAGGAGTCTATTTACAACTCAAATACAGAGGGTACATAAATAGTGTTGAATATAAATATTTGGCACTTTCGAGAAAAGAAATAAATAGTAGACTTAGGCATGATTAGGATATAGGGAGTTGTGCTAACTTAAAGGTGCCCTCTGGCAGTTTGAGTCCATCCGTGGTTCCTGGAGAGTAAGATGGACACTCTCTTCTGAAAACCTGTTGAGAGTGTAAGTTATAAATCAATTCGTACTCAGTGGCAATGATAGATAGATAACGTGAAGGGCAGTGGATTAAACCTACTCAACTATGAGGAATAAGAATTTAAATGAACAGTGTCCAATCAAAAACCTCAGGGAGACACAAAAGTTTTCACTAGATTCAACAATCAGGAAATTAATGGGTATGTATACAGGTCAGTCATTAACTCAACTCCCTGTTAATTGAACATTTACCAAAAACTCAAAATGTGTAAGTGCTATGCTATATGTTATGGAAAGAAAGTGAAGTAAGAAGTACAAATTAACTTGTGAAGAAGAGAAGACAAACAGTTACAGCGATAGTGGCGTTAAATTATGCTGAGTTGGGTATAACTCAAAGCGACCTTATGAACATCTGATCTGAACCCTGTCCTATCCTGTGGCAAAGCCATCATTTGTTACACTGTGACAGTCTCTTTAATAATCTCATTGAGAGTCTTCTCCTCCTTCAATGACCTTCTACATCTTCCAAGCATGATGTCTTTCTTCAAAGACTGCGCCTCCTAACAACATGCCCAAAGTTTGAGAGACAGGGTTTCAATCCTTCCAAAGAATATCTTGGCTGCACTCTCTTCAAGTCATGGCAGTCCATGGGACATTTACTGCCCTTCTCCACTACAACAACTCAAAGGCATTGATTCTTCTTCTGCTGTCTATATTGACTGTCCAACTTTCAGATTCATAACAATAATTAAAATAATCAAGGCTTGAATTATGACACCTTGGTCTTTTAAACAGACAACCTTGTTCTCCAGCACTTTGGAGAAGTCCCTGACTGGAGAATTTCCCAGGGCAACAAATCTTTTGATTTCCTGACTGCTTGTACCAAGTTTGTAGATTGTGGAGAAAGAATACCCTGACACATACCTCTCTTGATTTTAAATCATGTGTTCCCTGTTTAGGTATAGGTTTCACATGAGGACAATTAAGTGTTCTGGGATTCCCATTTTTCTTAATGTTTGCCACAATTTGGTATGAGCCACACAGTAAAATAAATGCCTTTGTATAGGTGATACAACACAAGTTGACATCTTTCTGGTACTTTCTGTTTTCAGCCATCTGATCCATCTGACATCAGCAATGATATCATTGGTGCTACAGACTCTTTTAAATCCAGCCTAAATCTCCGGAATTTCTCTGTCAATATACTGTTCTTGATGTTTTTGAATAATCTTCAGCAAGATTTTACTGATGTGCTATTAACAGTGTTGTTCAATAATGTCAACATTCTCTTTGGTCACCTTTTTCTGGGAATGGAAACAAGCATCCTCCAGTCTGTTGAACAGGTGAACTGTTTACAGTACATTAGGCACAGTGCCAAATGCCTATCTTTGATGTTCTCCAAGTAATTCCTCCAAGAGGAAGTATGTCCATTTTATAGTTGGGGAAAGAAAAACCAAAAACGCCACAACAATGCAAAACTCAAAAGAGGTTAAAGTAACCTGCCCCAAAACAATAGCAGGTACATGGCAGCGATAGGATTAAAATCTGGGACTGTTTGGTGGCTAAGTCCATGTGGTTTACATACCTTCTTATGCAAATTTTAACTTTAGATTTCCCCAGTTTATATATTTACCTTTCAAAGTATAGAAAGCAATCCTGTTGCATGCACATACATATTTGTCTATGTGAAAATGCTGAAAGTTTTAAAGAAGTTGGAGCAAAGTTATTCAGCCTATTAAATGAACTCTGGTACAGCCCCAAAAGACTGAATAATTAATTAGGTGTTTAAGCAATGCTTTCTTACAGTAGTGACAGAATTATTAATCAAATAAAGAGAATCTTTGTGCAACTCTATGATTTTTGGGAACCTAACCATATTCATGGTTACAGAATAAATCCTTAATAATGTGATAATTAGATTATAGGAACAATGTACATGTCTTAATGAAGAATACACTGAAGTTAAGGATATAGTTGGTTTCTTAAAGAAAAACTTAAAAACTACCAAATACAAACAAGTAACACTCTATTGGGAGAGGAACATCTAATTACCTTCTTTGCAAAGACCAAAATCAGCAATTTTCACAAAGCCCTCTGTATCAAGCAGTAAGTTATCCAATTTTAAATCTCTGTTCAGGATGAAAAAATAAAAATCAAGAAAGTCAACAGATAAAGTATCTTTCAGTAAAAGTTGCTATATTCTTACTAAACATCCAGTTCTCCTAGTTGTGATCTGAGATTTAAACGTACATCAGAAATGCTCATTTTGCTTCCATTTGTCATTGTTTTTACTCAGCAAAATATAGTTTCTAAATATTTACCTGTTATACAGGGAAGGGATAATGTATTTAAAAGTGAAAGATTTTCTCTTCTTAAGGACTGTTTCTATTCTCCTCAGTTTGGCTGGCTTCTCTTGATTTATTTGGTCTTGAGCAGTGCTACTCAATCCAGTGATGTGTCTGCTTTATAGCAGTGTTAAGGCTCCCTGGGGGTGTAAGGGTCAAATGCTTGACTGCTAACTGCAAAGTTGGTAGCTTAGAACCATCAGCAACTCTGGGAACAAAGACCTGGCCATGTGCTCCCATAAAGATTACAGTCAAACAAATTCTAAGGGGTAGCTCTACTATCATACAGGGTTGTTATGTGTCAGATCAATTTGACAGCACCTAGCAACAATAATCAAGCAATGCTATTCAAAGTGTAATCCATAGACAGACTGCCAGGCAATCAACTGGTTGTTGTCGTAATGTACTATCAAGTCAAAACTGACAGCTTATCCCTCAGAGGTTTTCAGAGGCAGTAAAAAGAACAGGAGTTGAGTGTCTATCTGTCTCCCACAGAGCAGCTGGAGATTTGAACAATGAACCTTAGCTATTTGTTACTAGCCTAATATTTGATAAGAAACTTATGCTAGGACATATACTATGGTTAGCTATGTTGGTATGTACACAGATTACGACAGTTGTTAGCAAGACTGTAATTCAGGAAGCAATTTTACATACTGACATAACTTATTTAGCTGTACATGTACATTATCTGATCAGTTTATCAGTTTTCTGCAGTGTATGTGCACAAAATATTAAGTACGATGACAATCACTAGTGAACTGTGTTACATGATCTTAACTGGTGACTCACTGTCTTCAGCTAGAATTGGCTCATAGCCAACCCTTCAGTGGGTTTTCAGAGGCTGTAAATCACATGGGAAATTACCCATCTTTCCTCTGAGGAGCCCGGTGGATCTGAACTACTAGAGAGTTATCACCTTTGGATTTGCAGCATTAACTCCCTATGAAGTACACCATCAGAATCTTACGTGACAGGCTGACTCACTTTGACTAATTAGAGATCATGAGGAACAAATAAATGAGCATTCATGTTAACCACAGTCTCTCAAAATGGAAGTTTGGAATTTTGGTTTTTTAATTACATATGAAGGAGAAAGAAAAGGTTGTTTAAACATAAAGTATCTTAATTATCTTAATTCTCAATAACACAAAAGTAAGCCACTAGGATATATCAAAAGCTTACTTACCTATAAACAATTTTGTGCTCATGTAAATACTGCAACCCAAGAACTACACATGCAGCATAAAATCTGTTTTAAGGATTAAATAAAAAGAAATGTAATAAATTTTAATGTTCTTAGATCTGAGATTATATTTATGCTTCAAAGCTGAACTCTGTAGTTAATACATTTTATAAACATTTATTAAGCTTTATTATGTGACAGACATTTTACTAGATTACAGAGGAAAATTAAAATGCAAAAACACAGTTTCTAAATAAGTCACTGACTGGTGAAATCCCTGACGACTTCAGAACAGATATTTAATCTGGCCCTAGAATCACAATGAACCATTTAGCGCATAAGAAGAGTGACAGAAAGTACTACAGAGAGAAACAGAAGGCATTGTTCAAAGAGAGAAAAGCATGAAAATGGAGCAAAAAACACAAAAGTCATACCATATTTGACAAGCAATGCAAGGCTGGTATAGCTAAAGGATTCACATAAGTGGGCAAGAAGGCAGGCGGAGTCCCCAGTTACCAACTTCTGACTTAAATGATTCCTTCTGTCCTTTAATATTATGTAATTTTGACTTCACTTTCAAACAACTAAACTCATTCCTATTCGTATCAAATTCTTCATCACAGTCATTTTTACCTGCTTTTTTGTACAGCTTTTAAATCTTGAAATCTAGTCCTTTCCTACATGAAATCAAAACTAAATAAAAACCATATGCACCTGTTTTGACTCACCTATAAAACTTTTTTTTAAAAATTTCATTATTTTTTTGTGTGTACTGTCAAATCAGATCTGACTGGTACAGGAGGAAACTGTTCCTACTTCTCCAGCAGAGCATCTGGTGGATTCGAACTGCTCGCCTCTGAGATTGCAGTGCAGCTTCTTGCCACTAGGCCACTATAAATTCTTAAAGACATAGGAACTTATCTCATTCAAACCCTGTGGGCTGTCTATAGTTGGAAGACGAGGCTGCAAAAATAGGCTGCGTCATAGAATGAAGGTCTTGGACTGAATGTCAGAGACATTGAGGTTTTTCCCCCTCTTGTTACTAGGTGTCATCGAGTCGAGGATGACTTATAGTAAGCCTATAAATAGCAGATTTGAACCTTCTCCTATCTTGTGCCATCCACACATACTGGAGCCCACTGCTGCAATCACTGTGTCAATCCATCTGTTTGAGGGTCTTCTTCTCTTTTGCCAACCCTCCACCTTTCCAACCCTGATTGTCTGCCCCCTCCCTTTAGTAACAGAAAATCAAACCATTTTAATCAGGAGAAAAGATCTGATTTATGTTTTAGAGGTTTTCTTAATCATAATATAGAGGTTGGCATGCAAATGGGTGGAGAGCCAGAGGAGGGGAAATAGGGCAATCTGATAGTACAAGAGTACTAAAGGCAGGACATGGCTCACAGTGTGAATCCATCAAATACTCGGCAGAAAAGATGAGTAATCACTTCCCATGCCATTTACAGCTCTGGAATATCAGCTATGAATTGGTTTGGGTTTTGATTTATGATCAGACAAAATATCAAGACAGCCTCCACTGTAGTGATGCAACACAGAGTAACAGAGTCAAGAGCCAGTTAAACACTAACATGACAAGACTTGGTGACGCATTAGATGGAGGAGAGGAAAGAGATGAGGATGATTCTCTCAATGTGAAATGAACAGGTAAAAAAATAGCTAACGCTTATTAAAAAAATGAGTTTGGCTTTAAATATGTTGACCTCTGCATTGCTTATGAGTCAGGCAGAGAAATCTAGTAATTGGATAATTAGCTTGAATGTCTAGAAAACTTGGGCCCATTTGAATATTTGCTCTGAAGGATAGGTCTATAGTTGTCTTTTTTCAGTGTTTTTCCCCCCGTTTTAAAAAAATTTATTTTTATTATTTTTGTGTGCGCGCGCACCAACTGGTATAGGAGAAGACTGTCCCTCCTTCTCCAGCAGAGCAACTGGTGGATTCAAACTGTGCACCTTCAGGATTGCAGTGCAGCTTCCTGCCACTAGGCCACAAGAACTCCCTCAGTGTTATATTCTAAAGACCTAGCATAATATCTGAAACATGGTAGGCTTATTGAAAAGGAGGGAAATAATAACTGAATGAAATTTAAAATGTGTCTCCAGCATAGAACAACCTATAAGAAGATGTTTAGGAAAATGAGTTCTTAATCATATAAGAATCTGAATATTCTCTAATAGAATACCAAGTAATATCAATATTCTTTCCATTCTTCCTTCCTCCCTCCCTCCCTTTCATCCATCCATGTCTCTGACTCCACTAACATCAGAAATAGTTACTTATATCTGTTTTATGTTCTTAAACAATATAGCAATGTTTAATGTTCAAATATCATTATACTAAGGCCACAATTGGGACAACTTTAAAATACACCTATTTAAAATATTTATTTCATTGTATATTGTTGTTGTTGTGTACTGCCGAGTTGGAACTGACCCACAGCTGACCCTCCTGCAGGTTTTCAGAGGCAGTTAATCACACGGGAGAAGACTGTCCATCCTTCTCCCATGGAGCAGCTGGTGGCCTCAAACTATATGGCTTTGGGAATATAGCACAGTTTCTTGTCACTAGAGCTCCCTGAGCTTATATAATTATTAGAAATGTATGTATTTAGCTTTAGTCCACTTGAACAAATGTTATCTAAAGCTGCTTTAACAGAAATTTATATATAATTTTTTATTATTCCAGTGGCAAGACACTATTCTAAAAATTATATTATTTTTACCTTCTTTTGTGAATAAATTCTCCTGGTTTTACTCAAATAATTAGATGTTTAATTATGTAAAATACATATTTTACTAACTGTTTAGTATGTTGGGCACCATGTTAAAGATTATATTGTTTAATCTTCAAATCAATTATATGATATTTTATAGGGGCAGAACACACAGATCAAGAAAGGTACATAATTTGTTAAATCCACATAGCTAGCTAGAAAACAGCAAACTGATTTTGATTTCATAGTATCGATAAATTTACTATTTGTCTATTATGTGCCAACATTCTTCTAAGCACTTTGCTGATTAATAAGTATGTCTCTTGTTCTCTTTTAACAAGGAGACAGATAACAAAAATATGTCGTAATATGTAATTTTAGTACATAAAATTGTAACAGAAAGTAGAACTAATATATTTGGATATGTGGTGGCATTTCTGACAGGTTACTCAGAAAAGAGCCTTCTAAAGAAATGATGCATAAAGTAAGCCTGAATGAACAGAGGCAGAGTGAGTTCTGATTATTGCAGTGGAGAATTTTATTCTTCAACTTCACTGGCCATAACTGTTTCACTTGTATATTGTTTCTATTCTTGGCAAATGCAAGTTTGTTTAGACAGAACTGTAGTATTTATTTTTTTTTAAAAGAAAACAAATTCCAGTAGTAGTTAACATAGTGTTAATATGGTCAAGATGCTTTGCTTCTGATTTATTTTATATCAAGGCAAAGAATTACTGGTAGTCTTTCACTACTTTTTGCCTTTTGCCTCCCTTTTGAATGCTTCACCCAGCATTATCAGTAAGCAGTATTACCTTATTGAATGTTGAAGGTAATGGCAATGTTACTATTATGTCTTCCTCCTCCATCTAGTGATCATAGTAAGAATTAAATTGAGGATGTAATTTTAGTGTTAAAAACTAGGATACAGAGAATACATACTCACAGACATACACAGACATGTCAATTGAGTTCTAGTCTATGAGCAAAACTGCCCTATCCAATCTACAAGAGAGGTTTACAGTAAAAAGTCTGTTGTCTATCCTTTCCTTGGAGGCAAGAAATGATTATCAAATTCTTTTGTATTCTTTAAGAAGTATAAGCACATGCAAGCAAATCCTTAATGTTTATTTTTTCCCTCTTACAAATGTGTATTAGGGGACAGTTTGTACTTAAAGCCATGAGCATGGATGACATTTCCTATGGAGAAAATCTAATAGGAAAAAGGAGGACTGTATCTAAATTTTCAAGTGAGGCTTAAGCTAATCTGTGATATTTTAAACATTGGCAACAAAGAAACCTTTGTAATAAAAGGAAGTTAAGGAGTTCTACTATTGCTTCTAGAAATCTATGTTCTAAACATAGATAAAACAAATATCTAAAATTCACAGAGAACCCTTTATCTTACCAGAATAAAATCAGTCATGGAAAAACAAGAGAAATGTCTAAAGCATACTCACACAGCTCTTGGTTCAGAAAAGACATCAGTATGAATGTGCATCATTAGGTCCCCACCGGCAGCATATTCCATTACAAAGCAAACATGCTCTTTGGTTTGGAAACATGCAAAAAGGTTCACCAAAAAGGGATGCCTTACACTATTCACAGTTTCAAAGATTCTTTTTTCACACATGAGGCTGCAAAAAAATACAGTTTAAAATCAATACATTAAACATACAAAATAAACAAAGCTCTAATCTGAAATAACACTTAAAAAAACCCCCCTCAAAATAAACACTTAACTATTATATCTTTAAGCATGTAAAATGTATCATAGCTTTCAAAAGTATGCTGTGTAAATAAATTTTCTATTTGACAAAAATAACTTGAAATATTTTAAGATAAGTATATGATTAGCATGACATAATAGTTACAAAGTTCATATTGATACTATAATAGAATGCATACAGTTAGTGGCTATATTTAATAAAAAAGGCCTTAATTGGGAATGACTCATGACATTGTATATAGAATTGGTCAGAAAACTTAGTAGCCTCAAGCACAAGTAAAAAGTTTTGAAGTTTATGACCAAGTAACTTTCAGGACAGTATTCGTAAGCCATAACATTAAATTTTTAAAAATTGCATAGAGCATATAGTTGAGATATACAAATATAACTACTCTAATTCTGGAAAAAAAAACACACCAAAAAAACCCACCTAATTTAGAAGGCTGAATTAAAATCCTCAATTTTAATTAAAAAGATTTATTTAATAAAAAAAATTTTCCCAAATAAGCCCAAACAAATTATGGAAAATAAAGTGGAAACATGGAGAACTTTATAGGACTCTTTAAAGATTTGCTTCAGACTTACATAAATTTTCTATAAATGTATGTAAGTAAATTTACAGCACAGTAAATTCTACTGAAATCACAAAGTTTGCCTCTAAAAACTATGACTAGTTGCAACAAAGAACAAATTTTTTAATACGAAACATTAATTCTACCTAAACATCTAAAAAACTTAAAGTAGAAGTAAACTACATACAATATTATTCAAAGGAAACTTAAAAAAGACAAATAGGTTCAAATCCACTAGCTGCTGTAGGAGAAAGATAGGCAATCTTCCCTTGTGGGATTTTCAGCCTCTGAAAACCCAGTGGAGGGCTAGCTATGAGTTGATTTTGACTTAATCTAACACACCAAGCTGGAGGTTTAGATTTTGGGGTGTTTTTCTAATATTAAGCTCATGATCATTACAGGAAAGTGTCCCCTATCTTTCTGGGAGCAGTTTGTGTATGTGAACCCCAGATTCTCCTCTAAGCACTCTGGTACATCATCCAACATGCTATGCTGTTTCTAGATGAACTTTTAACCCTTGGTTTTTACACAATCTGCTTTTTAATTTTATATAAAGTCAGAAACACAAAGCTCTACTGTAAATGTTTATAAAACCATAGATCATGTTTGCCAGAATTAAAAAATAGTTGTAAAGCTTCCAAATGTTACTACAGATTAAAACATTAATAGAATTAAATTGAAAGAATAGTAAAAATAAAGGTATAGTTTAGATTTGAATCACTACTTATTTGAAAAGATTACAAAATTGCTTTAGACAAGATCTAGAAAACAAATACAATTCAATTTGGTTTATGAAGGAAATATAAATTGTGGTTAATTTATATAAAATATTCAGATCTGAATTAGATAAAATGGGTAAGATGTTTTTGGCCCAAGCAGGAACGCTGGGGGAGCAAAGGTTAGGGACGTGGCTATCAAGCCAAAGGCTGGCTGTTCAAACCCAACCAATGGCTCTGCAGAACTGCTTCCATAATGATTTCAGCCAGGAAACCCTATGGAGTAGGTGTATTTTATCATATGGGATACTTATACATTAAAATTGACTCCACAGTACCTAACAAGAAAACCACAGATAATAAAGATTCCCCCCCCCCTTTGGTTGTGGTTTATAAGTGACTTAATAATTTCATTTGGATGGGCAGATAATAAAAATCATGTGCAATGAGAGGTGTTAGGTCAGATCTGTGTTGAAGATGTAAATATGTATGTATATGAAATTAATAAGCAGGAGTGGCATCCACTTCTTAACAACATACATCTGGAAACTCTATGAACTTTGATAAATGTTGATAAGTATAGAAATGCTTCAAGTCTTCTGTTAATAGGGTGGCTATCAATCATGCTCGACTCAACAGCAACCAACAACAACAGCAGCAATTAATAACTGGACAAGGATATGCATAACTGATCAAATAGGGTGAGACAAAAAACAAAAACAAAACAAAACAACCCAAAACAGGCCAAGGAAAAGTTCACACACGGATAGATACAATTGTGGGGAGCTCACAGAGACAGGAGGAAGAGGGAGCAGAGACTGGCAAATGGATAGGTGGGGTGAAGGAAAGGAGGGGAGGAGGGCACAGTTGAGGTTTTGATAATTTGTTGTACATAATGCCAACTGTACAGTTGTACAATTGTAATGAATGTTACCGAACCAAATGACTGAATAAAAATCAAGACAAGAATATGTCTTAAAAGAATTTTAATGCCTTTCATAAGAAGTTAACTGAGAGAGCAATATTACAACAAAAAAAAAGAACAAAAATAATAACAAATCAGGCTTCACAATCCTTACCTAAATCCCCTAGTTCACCATGATTCCCCTTTTTCAGTGAACTGCTCTGCCTATACTGCTTATTTTTAACTCAAACATGACTGTCTTCTTACTTCCATATTTAATGCACCTGTGTTTTGATAAATGGTTAGTGCTAACTAATCATTTTGCTAAATAAACGGTTTTGTTCCAACCTAACAGGTTTGTTGTTTTTTTGTATGCACTTCTTACATAGTTCAGAAGAGTATTAGATATGTTAGAAACTTAAAAAAAAAAGGCATTGTTGTTCTTGTTGTATACCACAGAGTAAGAACCAACCCATAGCTGACCCTCCTGGAGGTTTTCAGAGTCAGTTAATCACATGGAAAGAGACTGCTCGTCCTTCTCCTGTGGAGCAGTGTGCTCTCAGGATTGCAGCACACCCTCTTACCACTAAGCCACCAGAGCATTACATTTTAAAATATAAAATTTTAAAAACCACATCTTTAATAAAGGTAAGAACATAGGCTCAAATCCTGTGTAAGCTGTTATGCTATGCTCTGGTTATGTTAAAAATGCATTCTCAAGTTAAGTCCATTATTTTGAATTGGCAAGAAAAGGAGGCTAAGTGAGGTGTACAATAACATAAATTTAATACCCTTAGTAAGAAACGGGGGGATTCACAACACAAAGAGAATGTTTTCCTAAAGGAAGGTAGGGAGAGAATATGTATGATATATTTTGGAGTTAATCTATAATTTGTATTCCTATAAAGAGGTTGATTTGAGATAAATGATAAAAATTATAGGAATATTTATTTTAAAAATAAATCATTAATATGCAGTAATTCTCTTCTCTCTTGTTGCTGTTGAGTTGCAACTAACTTATCGCTGACCCTCTATGAGCTTTCTGATGCTGTAAATTGCACAGGCAGATAATTCCTATCTTTCTCCTATGATTTAAACCACCAGATAGGAAGAATTCTGCCCTACAGGCTAGGTCAGTGGAACTATCTAAATACAGTTATAGTGAATTCCAATGGCCTATTAAAAGCAAACAGTAAATATAAAAGATATTTACATTTAAATAAGCTTAGTTACATTTAGCTTCACTTGAATGATTTACTATTCAAAGCTGCAAGGTATAAAGATTAAGTAATAAAAACATACATGCTAATCTCTTTCTTTTTTAAAAAACATTCCCCCCCCTTGCCTATCTCAAGTTTCTTGAAGAATTTTATTTATCACTGTCAATTTTTCATTTCTCTACTTTAGCGTTAGTAATTCTGGAGATTATTTCCATGGTGCTGAAAAGTATAAGGATTTAAAACTGAAGTCGGATAAGAATCACACATTTTCCTTCACAGATAGATTAATTTTCCTTAGGAGTAACAGCTTAGGTTCTAGTTAAAATGCCATATACTGATCTAGACATTTTTTTCTTTCACAGATTATTATTCCATCTAGATTTAATTGCAAAATGTTTCCCTAAAATTACTTGGAAAACCACAGCAAACGGCTATAGAAATCAGCTACACTAACAGAGGTATTTATTAATCCTCAATTATTTTAGGAAACATGCATTTATCATCTACAGCTCTGAAATAAAGGCCAACATTCTCCCAGGAATGAGAAATATTTGACCCTTTTACTGTTGCAATAAAAAATAAAATAAAGATGGTATATATGACTTGCTTTAACCACCCACTTATGTAAAATGAAAAGATAGATTCAAGCAGGTAATACGGTGTTTAGGATATTTCATGTGGCAAAATTCTAAGTATTTTTAGTTTTTATGCTTGAGGAATATATGGAACAGCTAAAAAAATAAATGGCCAAAATAAAAAATGCTGTTTTACATAAAGCAAAACCTAAATCTCTTAATACCCACTATAATTTTAAAAACTTCCCATTAATACTGATAGAAAATATATATATATGTCATATATATGTCATATATATGTCATATATACATAGTTATTATAATATAGTCTACTAAGGTAAGTATTACTAAAACACAAATATTTTTAAAAATATATGAGGTGGGGGGAGAGGTAATCATAGGGACATAGAATTGGATGAGTGGAGGGAGGAGTGGGTAAAGGAAATGGGAACAAGATAGTGTGAAAAACAATGTATACACACTTTGTAAGTAAACCAGTATAAAATAAAAAATGTTATTGAAAAGATACATACAATATCAGCTAATTTGAGATGAAAGGAAAAAAAGAAAGTGCTACAATCCTGAAGGCATTCAGGCCACCAGCTGCTCGGAGGGAGAAGGATGGGCAATCTCCAATGCAAACTGCCTCTGAAAACTTGCTGGAGGGCTAGCTATGGGTCGGTTCTGACTCCATGTTACACAACAACAACAACAACAACATATGGGTTCGCTTAGGCCAAAAGAAGTTAACTCTGCCCTAAGGGCAAATCATTAAGAAGTACTAAGCAAGACTGGACTAAGGCTCAACGTCAAGAAGACAAAGATTCTCGCCACTGGACCAATTGGTAGCGTCAGGATGGATGACGAAGAGATTGAGAGTGTTCACAGCTTCACTTTGCTCGGCTCCACAGTCAACACTCT